ACCGTGGCAACTTTTTCCCATTTTTCGATAATTTTACCAAAATATATCCAAAACCATCTACATTTTGTCATGAAGTTGAATTGTTTTGAACTGTTCCTTTGTGTAAAATTTCTAGAAACACCATATGATATGTGACCAAAAAGTTCTAATTGGCCTACCTCCTCAACAACTGATAGTGGTTTCTAGCTGTGACCAAATAACTAACTCTGCAGTGCACATTTTAATTAGAGAATTGAAGATATCACAAAATGAACAAAGGTCTTCCTGAGGTACTTATATGTGCAATATCCACAAAAATTATAGATATCATTAGAGTGATTTACATTCAAATTTTCTAACCACTGACTGAATTTATGTGCTTCATGAAGGTGGAGTGAAAATTGTTCATCTTGGTCATGAAAATGCAGATATGATTAACGTACTGAATTTTCAAAAATGCAAGTTTTAACCTGTATATTAATATTACAAGTTTCTTTGATGCACACTGATTTGTTTTTATCGACAAATTGCACTTAAACACAGCATTAAATACTAGCTGCTAAAATAACTGTAGATCAGCACATCATAGAATACCAGCTATGTCCCATCGTTTTGAAATAACTGAAAACCAACACCACTCAACAGATAATACTGCTTGCCTTGCCTGGAAAATATAAAAAAAATTTTTACTGGTTATTACCAGTTACTGGTTTATGCAACTCTCAGTAAATATCAGTATCAGTATCATGTGAAGCAAAAATTCCACAGCTTCTTCCACTTGTGTTGCGTACTGTGAATTCATCCAATCCAAAAACTGATCGCCAATATTCACCCACCTGCCATGTTAGAAGACAGAATTTGGAAATGGCGACAGTGAAAATTACAATATGTAAGTTACTCTGTTTGTATGGTATATATGATTATAAATGTTTGTATATTTGGTAAAAAGTATTTTGACAATTCCTAACTTGGTGAACTTTGAGTTATTTAGTATATACGGTATATAGCGCACTAATGCCAAGGGAATTTATCAGTCTCAATACAGACTGTATTTTTACCCACACAAATCAAACTATTAACATAAATCAGCATATTACCTGTTTACCCAGAATTCCATGCATGAAAGGTCAGCAACACTGACAAATTTTGAGAACTGTAAATCCACCTGTATGAATGGAAGACAGAATTACAACAGACTTCAAGCTCCGAGCAGTATACAAATGTAGTTTAGTTGGAGACATTTTAAAAATGGTATCAAAATCACTGACAAATACAAACATGGATGATAATCTTCATACTGGAAATACTATGTATACTTTTTCATCAAAATGTGCATATGATTTTTTTCCCCCCAAGTAGTAATATATTAGACACTCAAACAGAAACACTGAATTATTTGCACCTGTTGTATACTGCTGTGATCCAGCGTCACTTTCCATGTACAAAGTCTTTGATCAATAGATACAGTAACTAGGGTACTGCTATCCAACCATTCTGCACCTATAGTAAAAAAATAAAAACATGAATTTTCAGTGTATTTAAATTTAATGTACACAAACAATGTAATTCACACACTAAACGAGACACAAACCAGCACTTTGCAATATGGAACATATTGAATGTAACCTGGGGCAAAGACTGTGGTGCCGATATCAAATTTGCTTTGACCCTTGACCCATTGTAAACTATTTGCACCATCTAAAAAAAGGTTTCTGTATAGTCATGAAATATTTATAAAATAAATTGACAAATGTTTTGATAAAAAACTAAAAGGAATATCTGAAACTGTAATGAACCAAAATGGTAACAACATTTAATAAGAATTTTACAAAATTTGTTTGAAAATATTTGCACTGAATTTAAAGAGAGAAACAAATCTGGCACTCAAAGACTCAATAATTCATATTTAATTAAACATGAAAGTAATATCCAGAACTGCATGGCCAAGTTTAGAAATTAACATTCTCAATTTTAAAATAAAAGTGAAGGTTTGTCACCTGCGCAAACATGAAAAATAAGTGAAGTGCAGATAACAACCCATGCTGAAAACGCAAAGACTCATGGGTAGACGCCTGTTTGTAAACAGACACGTGCTATGGCAGACTGCCGCATGGACAGGTGACGACTCCCCCGCTTTAACAATATTTATTGAATCAGTTAAGAACAAGCGTACATTTCAAATGACTGCCACTTACCTGTAACCTGTGCAGCATGTGCACTGGGTATTTTAAACATGTCAATTACAGAGATACTAAAGTTAGAATCATCAACATGAATGAGAAGTAAACTGACTCCATTGTCATCCCCACCACTTGCTATCACAAATATGTCATCTGTTGAAGAACCATCAAGTAACATAATTATATAATTCCAATTCAGAGCATTTTCACTTTTAACATCATTTTGACATGATAAATGGAAGAATAAAAAATTACCTTTCACTTGAAGTACAGCAAGTGAGTTGACTCCAGATTGGTGTGATGTCCAAAATGAAATGGGCGACGACAATGTAGTTTTATTACAGGAAGTCCTCTTGTCAGATGATAGATCAGACCTCAATTGTTCATCCCTGATACAATCACACCTTTTCCCAGCCACATCTTTTGAGCTGACTGTTGCATCAGTTTCCATGGCAACATCATCATCTGAACTGTTTTTCAAAGTGTGCTTTTGTTTACCAAGTTCCTGGACGACTGCCTCCACATCCCAGAATGCAATAATACCATCAGTGGCACCAGTGAAGATGGTGGGAGCACAACAGTGTGCAGGATTGTCTGGAGTCAAATAAAGATGCTTTGTCACAAGGATACAGTGGTCATGCCAGCAACTGTCTCCTAGCAACGTGAACTGTCTAGACAATAGGTCAAATGAAAACAATCTGCAAATGGAAATCAGAAATCTAAAATTAAAGATGATGTATTGAAGAAGGAACAAAACAGAAAATTACATTTAGTTTTGACTCAAGTTACTATTAGGTAAAAATGTAATTTTTGAAATGAAAAATTTCACCACTATTTTATCTGAAAAAAAAGCAAAACATAACATATGAAATGAGTGCCTTACCGAAGAATTGCATCTGAACTAGCCACTGCTAGATAATAGATTTCGTCCTGCTGTCCATTCCATGCAGTTAATGACATGTGTCTTGTGTCGCTATCTTCGTCCATGTCATCAGATCTCTTAGCTCTGCGCCGTCCGCGGCCGTCTGTGGTTCCGTGCACTCCAAGAAGTTCCACATCACATTGCAGAGTTACAGTTTCTTCTGCCTATATAATTCAAACAAGCATAGATATATGAATAATTGAAGGAGGATACAACTTGAAGTGAGGGCACAATATTCATTTAATAACTAGATTGTTACCAAAACGTTGATTCAGACACAGGTCATCATCAAAAGATCAGACAAATATTAATCTCCTAATCCAAAGAAGCTCAACCAGATTTAAAATGATTACATGTTACTACAGCAAAATAGCAATTCTCTATGGCTTTATTATCCCTTGGAATTTAGCCTATTATCATTAAAAATAGGGGTGGGGGTGGGGGGTAAATTATTATGTCTACAACTCACCTCTTCAATCCCTCTGAAACTAGTGGATTGTTTCACTGCTACCTTCCAACATTTCAATGCTGCCCTGCCCCCTGCAGAGAATAACAGCTTGCAGCATTCTGCTTGTAGGTTCTGACCACTAGAGGGAAGTGTAATTGCATAGAGGGCTCTCACACTTGAAATATGAGAGTGCAAATTTTTAAGCACCTTGACTTGATTGAGTTTGTTAATTTCTGGAGAAAATGTTAGAGAAATTTATAAATCTCATTTTTTTACCAACGTGTAAATTAAGAAGTCTGTCTACATTTTCTAGGAATTTGATTTCATTACAGTTAGCAAGCAAAAAATGTGATATACAGGCAAGTCTCTTACTAAACACACATATATCAATCATCGGTATACAATACTATATCTATAACATCGTGAAAAGGATACCAGAAATAGCTAATATGTTTATCGTGGTGTCTTCACTGCCACTTGCAATAACATGATGTTGTCTTACCGAATCTAAAAAGATAAAAGGATAATCAACAATTATTTAGCTGCGTGTCAGTTAAAAATATTGCAATGTGTGTATGAATGCATGCAGTAATATGGCCTAATTAATTATGCAAGACAGAGGTCAGTAAGGCCAAAGTATTGTCCAATGAGCATACCTTGTTGTATTCTCATAATTATGCAATGTTCCATTTTTTTAATAGAAATCTAGGACTTAGATTTTAGGACAATCTGTAATATTTATAATAAACTTTGACCGAGGTTAACCCAATATAGAATAGAATAGAATTTGTTATTGACATTGTAAAGATAATGTGACATTTTTTTTTTGGTGAATATTTTAATACAGGTAATTGTATTTACAGAAACAAGCATATGTAAATGTATTTTATAATGAGTTCTTTGTGTTATACTTTCCAATGTATATTGTTTAATGTATTATGTATGAATTTTTCTCCAAATTTTGACCTACAACCTTTGCTACCCCTGATACATATTAATACTGCGTTTTGACCTAAGCTAGCCACTGCTATATACTGACTGTTGACAGAGTTATTTAAAGACCAGAATTGTAATTGCATATTACAGAATATGACATGGTGGGAGTGTGTACAAATCTTTTGCTATCTGAGCAGTCACTGGGTTGCCATGGCTTGTTAGCAGGTGTATATGTCTGGTAGCGTCGTTTATGACATAGACGTATTTCATGAATATTATTTTAAAGTGCAATTATTAATAAAAACATTTATTATGAAATTACAGAATCTTGTATATTTGGTCTTGACCTCACTCTGTCTGTTATGGTTATTTAAAGACTGTACACGCTTTCTATCATACTAAACTGGTCACCAAATTTAACAAGTGTTTCAGGTCTTTACACTTTAAGTCTGCATGAGCGTAGGCAAGCCTAAATAGATTTTAATTGTATACAGCGCCACCAGTGGCTGTTCCTGCTCAATGCGTCTAACCCCTGGTTCATTTCTGACTTTGATCTAGGCTTGCCACTGGTAAACCTCTCTAAACTGCCCACTAGGCAAAACCTTGTTATACACATATATTGACCGGGTTTTCAATTATACTGACCTTTCATTTAGACGAAAAAAGTTTCATGTTAATACTGACCTTTGACCTAGGAACTATAATGGTTACATTTCAACTGGCAAAGGCCAAACCTGTATCATTTTTGTTCTGACATTTAACCCTGGATCAATCATACTGAACTTTAAACTATTTATACTGACCTTTGACCTCACCTATAGTACCTAAGTGGCATGCACAAGTAATCTCTTTCCAGTGCAAACTGTGCTGTAAAATAAAATAACAATATATAAATTAAAGAATTTAAATTCATTTATTTTTAAGACTAAATGTTATTTTCTACAGTAACACCACATGTTTTTATCAAGTCAGCAACTATGAAATGAAACACAACCCCATTACTATTTGTTTCTGTGAAATCAAACCATGCTCATGGGTAGATGCTTATTTATAAACAAAGTCACATTATGCTGGCTATCGCATGGTCAGGTGATATGCACATGTAGGAGTAATCTTGTTCAGGGGAGCCTCAACAACTATCCCAAAGTACAGTTTTCTGAGAGTTTTTAGGCTCTGTTTTCACCATGTTGCCTTACAGGCAGTGAAAATGAATGGATGTCCACCTCCGAGAATAATTTCAAGTTGCCATGCACTTCACCTTAACTACTCTTTGTGATTCCACAGTATCAACAGGTGTTTGACATATTATAACATTCCGTGCTTTGAGATAAACAAATACAGCACTATTCAGGACATATGCAAATCCATATGATCTATGTCCACCACCGCACTCCACCTCCAATAACTTCTCATTGTGCTGGACGTTCCATAAAATAAAATGAGCCTGAATGAAAAAAAAAATACGTTGGCAAATTGAAAAACAAAATAAGAAATATCATAGTTTACTATATTCATATATAATGCATTTTCAAAAAACAAAACAAAATGAATCAGAATTACAATAAAGGTACTCACAGCATGGAATCCTTGGATTTCTAATGAGCCATTGTCTTTGAATGTCATTTTCTCAACCCATTCAAAACCCTTGTAAACCTGTAAAACACATATTTCAGATTTGTAAAAATATATTGTGAATGTATAAAATGCATTAATTGCATAATTTCAAATTCACAAATTCACATTTCAAAATTTCTGTAACTACGGCCTTTCACCTTTGAAGAGTTCAATAACTGAAGGAGGCCATTTTGGAATCTGTGCTGTTTGTATTTACCATCTCTACCAGCAGTGTAGATAAAATCACCATGGCTACATACATCTGTTACCCCACCCTTACCATGAATAGATACCAGACTCTGAAGAGGACCAGTACCCTGCAGAAAAAATGGAAATTTACAAATTCAGTAAAGAAATTGTTAAGCTCTTCCGGACTTTAGGCCCTGAATTTAAACTGTTGACAGTCTCACAGGCCTAATGTTTGTTTCAACTAAAATGATCAAATTCCGCAATGCCTAGGCATTTCAAGCAAGGATCACAAAGCCCGAGGGATTGTTACACCATCACTTGCCACTGTTGAGAAATTCTCTTGTAGCGTATCTGTGGGATAACAAGATGATTGACAGGTAGAATGACATCTTAATACACATGTATTACTAACTAGTCGCACGTCATGGGGAAGCGATGCAATATTTACTTAGGCTTTGTTGAGCAAAATGTTCGGCGAACCTTTGATCAGATCATTGTCGTAAATCCCGAGAAGGGGCGCCTAGATGCAAATTTTACGTTATCATTCATATGCAGGCATAATTAATAGCAGTCTGGGCCTTCAGCCTGTAACAGTCCCCAAAGCCTTACAGTCCTCGCTCAACATGCCTTCAACATTTTGCAAACACATTACCATATTTGAATTAAATATTTTAGTTGAAAAAACAAACATCAGAGGCCAAAGTACTGCTGACAGTCTATCCTGAATTTAGCGGATGACCAAATTGTAAGTATTAAACTATTCAACAAGCCATCTCACATCCGTTAAACAGACCATCTCACAACCATTCAACAAACCTGCTCAAAACCATTCAACAAGCCTTCTCACAATCATTCAACAAACCTTCCCAAAACCATTCAACAGGCCTTCTCACAACCATACAACAAGTCTTCTCACAACCATTCAACAATCCTTCTCACAACCATTCGACAAGCCTTCTCACATCCATTAAACAGGCCTTCTCATAACAATTCAACAGGAGTTCTCACAACCATTAAACAGGCATTCTCACAACCCTTGCTAGCAAGCCTTCTAAAAATCATTCAACAAGCCACCTCATAACCATTCAACAAGCCACCTCACAACCATTCAACAAGCTTTCACACATTTCAGCAAGCCTTCCTACAACCATTCAAAAAGCCACCACACAACCATTGAACAAGCCTTCTCACATTTCAGCAAGCCTTCCCACAACCATTTAAAAAGCCACCACACAACCATTCAACAAGTCTTCTCACATTTCAGCAAGCCTTCCCACAATCATTTAAATAACCACCAAACAACCATTCAACAAGCCTTCTCACATTTCAGCAAACCTTTCCACAACCATTCAAAAAACCACCACACAACTATTCAACAAGCCTTCTCACATTTCAGCAAGCCTTCCCACAACCATTTAAAAAGCCACCATACAACCATTCAACAAGCCTTCCCCACATTTCAGCAAGCCTTCCCACAACCATTTAAAGAGCCACAACACAACCATTCAACAAGCCTTCCCACATTTCAGCAAGCCTTCCCACAACCATTTAAAAAGCTACCACACAACCATTCAATAAGTCTTCTCACATTTCAGCAAGCCTTCTCACAAATCTTCAAAGAAGCCTAATTCTTCAACAAAAATGTCACTACCCTGGCTTCAGGCTTCCAGGCTTCTCATAGTCACTCAACAAGCTTTCTCATAAGCCTTGAGCAATCCATCTCAAGCCCACAAGCAAGCTGTCTCACACCCTTCATCCAGTCATCTAACAATTATTATCCAAATGCTTGACTAAGCCATCTCACAACCATTCAGCATTAACCCGAAGACAGGTCAATATATAATCACTATTGCTCTACCTTTTCAGCATTATCTGAACCTTGTGTGGGATAGAGGTGCACAGTTCCTCGTCTGTCTCCAAGAACAATACCTTTGTTTTGTGGTAAGATAACTGGCAGCAGTTGCCCAGCGTTGTCTGGCATAAGGTAACACATAACACTGATGTCGATGAAGACATATACCTGTATCTGTGGTGGAGATCTTCCACCAAACCTATAGTAGACATAGTCATTTGGGAAAAATATAACCAGTCTCATGACAGTCTTAACCTACTCACATTTTTATCAATATAATACTAAAATATTTTTCCAAAATATCAAATGAATGCACTTGAAATAAATTGTTAGGATATACAGGCTATGTACTTGTAAACAGCACCTAGACAGCTGGCACATGTAAACAACACCTAGACACTTGGCACATGTAAACAACACCTAGACAGCTGGCACATGTAAACAGCACCTAGATAGCTGGCAGATGTAAACAACACCTAGACACTTGGCACATGTAAACAGCATCTAGACAGCTGGCACATGTAAACAACACCTAGACAGCTGGCACATGTAAACAACACCTAGAAAGCTGGCACATGTAAACAACACCCAGACACTTGGCACATGTAAACAACACCTAGACAGCTGGCACATGTAAACATCACCTAAACAGCTTGCACATGTAAACAACACCTAGACAGCTGGCACATGTGAACAACACCTAGACACTTGGCACATGTAAACAACACCAAGACAGCTGGTTATGCACATGTAAACAGCACCTAGGCAGCTAGTTATGCACATGTGAACAGCACCTAGATAGCTGGTTATGCACATGTAAACAACACCGAGACAGCTGGCACATGTAAACAGCACCTAGACAGCTGGCACATGTAAACAGTTCCTAGACAGTTGGTTATGCACATGTAAACATCACCTAGCAGCTGGTTATGCACATGTAAACATCACCTAGGCAGTTGGTTATGCACATGTAAACATCACCTAGCAGCTGGTTATGCAGGTGTAAACAGCCCCTAGACAGCTGGCTGTGCTCATGTAAACAGCAGCTAGGCAGCCGGTTATGCACATGTAAACAGCACCAAGACAGCTGGTACATGTAAAAAGCACCTAGACAGCTGGCACATGTAAACAACACCTAGACAGCTGGCACATGTAAACAGCACCTAAGCAACTGGCACATGTAAACAACACCTAGACAGCTGGTTATGCACATGTAAACAGCACCTAGGCTGCTAGTTATGCACATGTGAACAGCACCTAGATAGCTGGTTATGCATATGTAAACAACACCTAGACAGCTGGCACATGTAAACAACACCTAGACAGCTGGTTATGCACATGTAAACAACACCTAGACAGCTGGTTATGCACATGTGAACAGCACCTCGATAGCTGGTTATGCACATGTAAACAATACCGAGACAGCTGGCACATGTAAACAACACCTAGACAGCTGGCACATGTAAACAACACCTAGACAGCTGGCACATGTAAACAACACCTAGACAGCTGGCACATGTAAACAACACCTAGACAGCTGGCACATGTAAACAGCACCTAAGCAACTGGCACATGTAAACAACACCTAGACAGCTGGCACATGTAAACAACACCTAGACAGCTGGCACATGTAAACAGCACCTAAGCAACTGGCACATGTAAACAACACCTAGACAGCTGGCACATGTAAACAACACCTAGACAGCTGGTTATGCACATGTAAACAGCACCTAGGCTGCTAGTTATGCACATGTGAACAGCACCTCGATAGCTGGTTATGCACATGTAAACAACACCTAGACAGCTGGCACATGTAAACAACACCTAGACAGCTGGTTATGCACATGTGGAGCTCATGTACAGCAGGAAAAGCCACTTAATGCACATAAAATGATAATGAATATATATTCAAGTATTACCATGCATCCATCGGGTCCTGTTGTGATAACATCATTATCAGAAGGCCAGCAAATACTAAACACTTTCCCATCATAGATTTTGATTTCTGTATAAATATTGCTCTCACCTGGAAAAAAATTGAAATAACATAAGTTTTTTGTAAAAACAAAATAAAGGATTATTTGTTATTAAATAAGGATCATTGAAATACATGCAATCCAGATGATAATTGTTGTCACTTCTTTTGAATTGATATATTGCTTTTTATTCCCACAAATTCGGTGGGTCACAAAACGGTCTATTATTGACAATTTAACTAGGCAGAGTTACTTTTATGGAATTTTCATTCTCAAAGCAATATGGAATTGCAATAAAATGTTTAGCTGTAAAGTAATAAATAAAAAAACTATTCACTTATGCACAGAGTATTATTATAATGAGGTCTACAGAACAAAAGAACTTACTTAGCTGAAATACCCTGATGAATCCATGGATGTTCGCCATGGCAACCAAATGATGATTTGGTGATGGGGATAACAGTGCATAGACCCATATCTTTCATCTGATGACACAATGTACCATTCTTTGCTAATCAGATTATAGAGCGGAGAACACTGATAAGACAGAGGGAGAAAACTGTGATATGACAGAGGGAGAACACTGTGATATGACAGAGGGAGAACACTG